AGCTCCTGCTTCTAGGATGGCCTGAGGACCTACTCGGATATGGCAAGATTCGTGCGGCATGGGGCTATTGATACCACAAAACGTCAGATGTGTCTTGACCGTGTCCAGATAACGAAGGGGAAGAGATAGGCCTATCGTGGCCCATCCAGGTCAGTGGATAACTGCACCAGTATTTAAAAAGACGCTCTTGAAAAATACCTCAGCACGCAGAAAAAGGCTCAAGACCCACGACTGGAAGGTCAGGCGTCTCCAGCATGGTGGATACTGGGTCCACGCGGCTTTGTTCCGACCCCGCACCCTGCACTCCAGCGCCAAGTGTTGCGTGCACCTGGAGGAGGCGCAGTTCGGCGGGCAGTTAAGGGCAGACGAAGGTGATTACAGAGAAGTCTACCCAGGTGCCATTGTGGAGGTGGCACAGGTACTGCTTGGTCACTTCTGCTGTGAGCTTTACGAACTGAAAAGGCACAGCAGGCCTCAGCCACAGAGGCTGCCGCCAGCTTCCTGATCACAGCTGCACAGGCCCAGGCTGTGCCTGTAGATGCAGCTGGACGAAGGGCCACGTGATGGGGTCCCAGGCAGCAGCCAGCGTGGCAGGGACAGGGTGCCACCCACTGCTCCCCTGGCCGTGCAGTCAGCAGGGGTCAGGGGAGATAGGAAAGTGGGGGATGGGGCCCCAGAAAGGAAGCCCATCCCCCCACCCAGCGCTGTTTGCTGCTCTGAGGAGACTGAGCCCAGTCTCTTGGTTTCCTTTCATTCAGAAAGTGGGCGGGGGATTTCCACAGCCTGCTGGCCTGGGGGTGGGGGGTGTTATCTGGGCACCCAACTCTGGATGTAGGGGCTCCCTCAGACTGCAAGGTTCCAAACCCAGCCTATTTTGGCACACAACGACCCAGCAGGCAAGCACTGGCATTCCGTTTTCCCTAACGAGAAATCCAGGCTCAGAGAAGTCAAGGTCTCAACCCAGAACCACACAGCAAGACACGAGCCAAGATCTGAAATCAAACCTGGCCAACCTCTTGCAGTACCCTGACCCAGCCACCACATCCCCATCCAGGTGCTGCCCTCAAACAAAAGCACGGGACCTCACTGCAGGAAGTGTCACAGCAGGCTGAGGAGCAGGAGGACAGAGGGACCTTCTGGGGGTTCTGGGGTGGGTGATAACAACTTGGTCTCGACATCCCCCCTGGACTTGGGCATTTTCTAGTCTGGATTCATAGAACTGGAGCCGAAAGGAAGCCTGAAACCATCGCCTGCGGCTTTAAGTGGTCTGGGGTTTCTTGTAAGCAAAGGATTTTATCAAAGACAATTTTATACCAATGTGGGGGCCAGTGGGGGCACTGTGGGAGCCCCGCTCACATCATCTGTCCTTTTTCCCCGTTTTCCTTCCTGGAAGGCCCAGATCAAGCCCCAGGTTGCCCACTTGGAAGCTCAGAGAGGGACAGGCACGTGCTGGGGTTACACAGCCCTGGCAGAGGGAGATGGGCTGAAGTCACTGGCCTCTATGCCCAGCAGCCTACTAGGACATCTGGGAACCATGTGGGCCACAGACACCAACTGGGTTGGGGGCTCTTTACCTGTCTGGGGTCCAAAGGCAAACCTAACCCTGATGTCCCCGGCTTGTGCCCACAAGGCCATTCCCGGCTCATCTGCCTCCCAGGTGTGGCCTGTGGCATCTGTGAGGTAGCATCACTATTGTCCCTTTCCAGGGACTATGGGGAGGGGCCCACAAGGGGAAAACGAAAAACGAGGACGACCACAGCAGCCGCCGCGAGGCACCAGGCAGCTGAGCCCGAGGGAGGCGGAGGGCCCAGGCCGCGCACAGCAGCCACTGTTTCCTGCTGCTCTGGAGGAAGTGCCGTCCTTTCTTCCTGCTTCCTCTTTCCCACAGTGAGGGGAGGTGGAGCCCGGGGGGCAGTGGCATCAAGCTGCCTTGCCCATGTTCCTTTGGCAGGGCCCTGTCTTGGCCTCAGTTTCCTCAGCTGCACCGCAGGGTGCCCTTCCTGCAGTTCCACCTGCTCTTGGCCAGACTCAGCACAAGGGCGTCCAGGGGCCGTAGCCTGTGTGCAGAGCCCTGGCCACTGTCCTCACGCGGCCGTGCTGTCTGGAGCCAGGATGGAGGGCCAAGGCTGTGCCCACAGGCCATGGCCTCCTCCCACAGGAGCGCAGGCCTGGGGCCTGACCTGGCCACAGGACTGGGCTGTACCTCCCTTCACCACCTTGCTGAAGGCCACCAAATACTCCATGCCAGGTGAGGGGCCTTGGGCCAAACTCTGGAGCTGCAGTGTCCCCATCTATACAGTGGTGGCCCTGGACAGTAGCCACAGGAAACTTTCCTGATCTGAGAGGGACCTTGGGAGGAAGGGTCTCTGTGGGAGGGAGGGACCGTGGTCATACCATGCCAGTGCTGGCAACGACAACTCCTTCCAAGGGCTCAGAGGCAACTGATTAAGCCCAACTGCTGGTTCCAATCCCCTCTTGGCCACTCCCAACCCTGGCACACTGCCCAGCCTGGGGAATGGGCTGTGGGAAGTTGAAGGAAGCCTGGTCAGCACAAAGCCTGCTGCAGAAGGGGTGCCCACTGCATACTGGCTGGAAGGCATCTCTAGGTCTGAGGCCCAGGTGTTTTCTGCTCTGGGCTGCAGAGGCCTCCTCCAGGCTGCTGCTGGGATGACACTCGCCTTCCTGCACAGGACAGCAGTGAGGAACAGAGCCTATGAGCAAATCAGAGCTGGAGCCCCTACCCCCACTGGCTGTCAGACCCTGCTCCTCTCCCCTCTCACAGCCATGCTTTCAGCAGAGGTCAGGGCTACTCTGCCCTGGAGACCAGAGGCTGGGAACCACCAAAGGGGACCATTAGGAGCAGTGAGGCTGCCCTGCACTTGCTGCTCTGAGGGGCTGGGAGAGTCCACCAGGCTGCTGGCTTTGCAAGTAACACCCCACACTTCCTGGCAGCCACCCAGTCTGGGACAGAGCCAGAGGGATCTGACTGGACCACCAGCTGGGACTGGGGGCCTAACATAGTACAGGAAATAAGACTGTGTTCTCAGCCCAGGCAGACCCCAACCATAGCCCCTCAATGTGTTCATTTTCATCCAGCCAACACCACAGGCCCAAGAAGTGGGCACTGCACAGGGGGAAACTGAGGCTTAAAGATTTGCCCCCATTGCCAGAGGCCCAGAGCTGGGAAGGAACATAAGTCCACCCTCCAAAGCCAGATGCATCTGCCTCCTGATCCCTGGTTTCCCCAGGTGCCTTTGAAGTCGTTTTTTCAAAGGGAGGTCTCATAGGGAACAGAGCCCTGAGGCCATACAAGTAAGACAGACTGCATACTGGGCCCACGTTGCCTCTGTCTGTCGTGGTCTTGGATGTTTTCTGGATGAGCAGACAGCTTTCTCTGCACTGGAGTTTTTCCCAGTGTTCCATCCTGGGGTATCCTCGCCCCACTCCCACCCCACCCTGGCCTCTCCTTCCTCATCTTCGGGGCACGCCAAGCAATGCCACCTCCACCCCTGCCTGAACTTCAGCTTGAAGCCCACAGTCTCCTCCAGACCCTGAGTAAACTGGCAGTGACGACGGTGTGATGCTAGCATAAGGACATACACAGGCCAAAAGGGCAGAAAGAGAGTCCAGATAGCTCATGGTCCCAACCATGTAGGCCCCGACAACAAAGCTTCCCAAGGAAAGACAGGGCGTCTTCACAACACTGGCTAGGCCAAATTTTCCTAGACAGGACTCCACAGGAACTGACCACACCAGAAAGCAGCTGACCACTTTGCTAAGCTGGAGAAGGTGGAGCTGGCCATGGCCACCTGTGACCCAGCCCTCCGAAAGTGGAGGCCAGAGGCCAGTAACAGGCAGCTAAGAGGCGAGCAGCCACTTCCTGTGCAAGGGAAGCATCGGTATGTCAACCCTGTACGTCTGTAGGAAAGTGAGGACAGAGCAGGGACAGTTCTCAGGGAAGGCAAACTCAAGCCATCTGAGACGGCACGGCACACCATGGACTGCTGAACCAGGTGCACAGGATGGGGAGCCAGGGTCTCGCAGTCACTGCTGCTGAGGACACGGACTAGTGCAGCCCCTTTGGCGCCGTCTTCCAGGGTGAAAGTTGTACTGCCAGGTTGTTGAGCAACCTGACGCCCAGCGTCTGCCCCAAAGGCCTCTGGGCGCACTTTATCTTTTTTTGTGTGTGTGTGGGAGGTTGTCATGTCAGAGTTTGAACTCAGGGCCTCACGCTTGCTCGGCTGATGCTCTACCACTTGAGCCATGCCCCTAGCCCTTTCTTGTGTTGGGTATTTTCCAGATAGAGTCTAGAAAACTATCTAGGCTGGCCTCAAACTACAATCCTCCTGATCTCTGCCTCCTGAATACCTAGATTACATGCGTAAGCCATCAGCACCCAGCTGCCTCATCCAAAATTCCAGCCCAGCATTGTTCACAGAAGCTCCAAAGCAGAGCAGGCCCTGCCTGTGATCCTGGCCACTGGGAGGCTGAGACAGGAGGACCTCCAGTTCCAGGACAGCCTGGGCTACGGAGTGAGACCCTGTGTCAAAAAGTCACAAGGTAGAAACAACTCGGATATTCCACAGATGCCAGGATTCACCAAGTATATACAATGGAACGGCCCTCAGTGATCAGAAGGGACACAGCAGTGGGGCACACACCACACGATGAACCAGAACCGTCATACTGGGCACAGGAGCCGGACAGAGGAGTGCTGTGTGCATGTCAGGAAGACAGACACACCGGAGGAGACTGCAGTCCGTGGTGGGATTCAGCATGCTGGTAAGGGGGGCTAGGGAGCCCCAGTGCTGGGTCACTTGGAGGCTTACACGGAACCGTGCCTGAGTAAGGAGCTAAATCTCCTTGCTTTGCAACTCCTGTTAATCCAGGACGGCCCCAGCATGGAAGGCTCGGAGCTGAAAGGGCACCCGCCCCTCCCCTGGCCCGCGGGCACCCTCCTGCAGGTGTCCGGGGCGCAGTGCAGTGGCATCGCGGCTTACCTTGGGCGGGTCGAAGAGCTCCAGCAGGCGGTCGGGACAGCCGGGGCCGTCGCGGCGCAGTGCCAGCCTCCCGCGCTGCCAGCGCACGCCGCTGTCCATGGACGCCTCGTCGGCCAGGCTGTAGCGCAGCACGGCCTCCTTGAGCGCCTCGGGTGGTGGCTCCCGGGCCAGGCTCCAGGGCAGCAGCTTCCTGGCCAGGCCGGGCCTGGCGGGGGCCTCGGCGGCCTCCCGGCGGTGGCGGTGGCGGGCAGCTCCCCGGCCGAGCGGCGGCGGAAGATGTGGCGCAGGCTGCGGCGCAGGTGCTGCAGGGAGCAGGCGCCCGGCGTGCGCGGCGCGGCCAGCTCCTCGGAGCTGCGGGCCTTGGGCAGCCCGGCGGGCGCGGGCAGGGTCGCGGCCTTGGCGGGGGCCCCGCGGCCCGTGTCGCGGTAGTCGCGGCCCGGGGCGCGGCGCGGGCCTCGCGCACCTCGCGGCAGAAGTAGCGCTGGAAGAGGTCGGCGAACTGCAGCGACACGAGCTCGGCGCGCAGCGGCACCTGCTGCGGGTGCTGGCGCGCGAACAGCCAGTACTGGCGGGCCAGCTCGCGGGCCGCGGCTGCCGCGTGCAGCTCGCAGAACTCGCTCCAGCCCCGCGGGGCCGACGGCTGCAGGGCGGGCCCGCTCATGGCGGGGGGCGGCGGGCACGGGCGGCCAGGCTGAAAGACAGGGAGGGCGACAGGCGTGAGTGAGCGGGCGGCCGAGACCCCCCGTGGGCCCCCGTCCCGCCCCGGGGCCTGTCCCCAAGCCCTAGCGCGGATGCGGAAACCAGAGAGCTGGCGGGCGGGCGGTATATACTGCATGGATTCAGGGAGAAGGGAGGCCAGTTGTGTCCAGCCCAGGGCAGGTTTCATCACACTGCTCAGAGCCGCGCACGGTGGCTTACAGCTGCAATCCCAGCTCCTTAGGAGGCGCACGTCGGAAGGGTTATGGTTGGCGGGGAGGAGTGGTAACACCGCGTCAGTTACGGGCAGGCGAGGTGCGCGCCTGTGGTCTTCGCTTGGGGAAGGAACACCTCCATCCAGAACGGCCCACGCAAAAACGGGAGACCCTATCTTAAAAGTAACTGAAAATATAATGGGCTGGAGACGTGACCCAAGTGGCAGAGGACAAGTACAAGGCCCTGTGTTCAAACCCAGTACCACCAAATAATAATAATAACGTAAGTAAATAAACACTCCTTTCGGAATTTTCCATTTAATATTTTTAGACCCTTTTGACCACAGGTAACAAACACGGGCAGTAAAATCTTGGCTAAAAAAGAATGTTGTACTTCAAACACACACCAGGACACAGCCCCGGTGTGGATGGTCTGTCAAGTTGGATAATCTTTCTGGAGGACAATTTGGCAAGACTGATAAGACCCATATTCCACTTCCAAAAGCAATGTTTGCTTCTAAGTACGACACAACTCCTTGCTACACATTTCCTGCCACAGGAAAAAATGAGACACAATCCAATGCCCACTGGGCACAAGCTAGTGAAATAAAGGACCGTCTGTCTACAGGCTGGACTCCCGGATGAGAAAGAGCTCTAAGGGACCAGTATACGCAAAAGCGTGAACCACAGAGCCACACAAACAGTAGACCAGTCTTTACATGTACATTGACCCAATTCACGGTGGGCAGGAAAGACCTGGCAAAGGCAACCCCATCCTGAAGGGGTGGAGATGAGGCGCCACCTTGGGCTGCAGGGGGTAAGAAACCAAGGAGACTGGCTACTCATCTCTGGAAAATACGGTTAAGAATACAAGCCTGGCTTTAAATTCCAGGGCCACCTCTTACTAGTTATGTGACCCCAAGTGACTTCTTACTTCATTGCTCTCTGCCTCAGTCTCCCATCTGTGAAATAACCCCCCCATCTTCCCACCTCACAGGACTGTTACAAAGATTGAGTTAATAAAAATTAAGGCCTGAGCTGGTAGAGTGGCTCAAGTGGTAGAGAGCGCCTGCCTAGCAAGCATGAGGCCCCGAGTTCAAACCCCAGTGCCGCAAAAAAAAAAAAAAAAAAAGCCTTAGAACCTAAGAAAAGTTTAGCGAGGGGTGCCTGCTGTCACCCTTACTCAAAAGTTACAGTGAAGAGTATTGATGTCTATACAGTAAATATAAACCAATAAATAAAAGGAAATAAATTAACAAGACTCACAGGGTGTACAGCAGTGTCTATTACTCTAAGGGGAGCTCTCAGGACAGGCAGACACTTACCTGCCCATTCCAACTGGGGACCCCTTCAGCCCTACTGGAGGGACCTTCCTTAGGCAGTAAGCCCACCCCTCCCTGTGCTGTCCTTGGTGCTGAGCAGCTTAACCCTCTGAGTTGATCCGTTCCCCTCCACCCCCAACCCAGTATATTACACGCTCCTTCCTCCTGAGCCTGGCTGGGCTAGAGACTGGGGACCCCATGCTGCTCCTTATGACGGAGAGTGAGAAACAGACACACAGAGATCCCTGATAAGCGTACCCTGCGTGAGTAAGGCCACACAATACCTGTCCCTCATTGGACAGGGCAGGTTGCCAAGCCACAACGGTCCAGTACAAGTGGCACCTCTATCCATAACCTCATTTGCTCCTACCACTGTCACTGAGGGCCTACTGTGTGCCCTGGGGACACAACAGTAAGACAGAAGAACTCTTTGTCCTCCTGGGCTTACATCACAGAGGAGCCATGCATCGCCTATGCGGTCACTAACTGATTCCCCACCTGCCCAGCAAACCTCAGGCGTTGTTTATGAGGACATTTGCGAGGGGCTGGAGGCGGACAGCTGACTCTGGAAGTGGGGCTCTCCCACAAACCTTCCCCAGGTGCCTTCTCCTCTGTGACCCCATGGTGCTGGGCCCCCAGCAGGGCAGGGCAGGGCAGGGCATCACTAGCAACTCATCGCCCAGGACACCCCAGGGTGCTCTGCACTCACTGGAGGGTGCTCTGCAGTTAGCCCTTGGCACAGCACAGGAACCTCGGCCACTGCACACTACCTCCAAAGCCTTAGGAGAAAGGAGCAGGGCCACATCTGCTGGTGTCCAACACGTTCTGAAGCGCAGACCCATTCCCACGAGTAGGCACCCGTCCTCAGTCAGCCTCACGGTCCCCTATGTCTAGGCCTTGACATAGGCAAGGCCAGCACGGGGCCCTCACGGCCTAGGGTGGGAGCCCCATGTGGCTCACCCCCAGCTACCCCTGCCAGCATGTCGGCACTGGCCACTCCCCCATCCTGTTTCTGGCTGACCACAAGAGAGGCATCCTTCACCACACTGGTCGCACACCATGACCTGACTCAGAAGTCTAGGATTTCTTAGTGGCCAACTCCCCGCCAGACTATGGGCACCTCCTTACTCCAGCTGCAGTTCCTAGCATACAGCAGGAGTTCAATGAATGTCTGGGCCACGAATGACCTCCTAAACATCATGCATGCACAGTGGCCGGCACCAACCATCAACCACCTCGCTGGGTCAGCCTGCCTTCTGGGAACCCTGGGTTCTGGCCCTGTCCACTCCACATGTTGAGTAGGAAGTCGTCAGGGCCACCTCCGTAGATGAGATGTGTGGCTGCGGAACAAGTCAGTCTTGAAGCCCAGCTGTGGAGCCAAGCCCTGGCCAGAGCCCTGCATGTTCCCTACTGTCCATGCTGGGCGCCCTCCTCACACGCCCCCACTCCAGCTCCCTCCAAAGCAGTGGTGTTGACTGCACATCTGCCACTCGTTCTAACTACTTCCCCAAAGCATAAACTCCACATGGAGTCAGGACAGGACGTGGGTCTAGTTACTCCTGCTTTACAGAGGGGAGGCCCTGTAGCCAATGACTAGCCAAGAGCTCCCAGAGCCAGACGCACAGGGAGGGGACTCTTCCCAGTGCTGAGTGAATGAGAGGCTCACAGGGACATAAAAGAGTCTCACCCACTCCTGCTACAGTTGGGAATCACCACTAACTAATCCTGTCTGGGTCCCAAAGCCACCAAGTGCTCAGAAAAAGTCACAGGGTAAAAATAAAAAAAAGTGTTCACAGTAAGTGACGCCATCTCAGGGTTTCTAAGCGTCCTGCCCCTCACTGAACACTTCACGCACATCTGCTTTTAATCCCCATGGGGGCCGGGGGCATCCTGTCCTTGTGACCAAGTTATACATGGGAAAATCGAGGCATGGGAGTGCTTTCCTATTGCTGGCTGGCTGGCGAGGGGCAGAGCTAGCTAAGCATTAGCCACACTGCTTGGGGGGCATCCCTGGGGGCTGAGATGCCAGCCCGCTCCTGCCACTCTCCAGGCACCCCAAAACACTACCAGCGCAAACTACTGCACTCCTCGGGCTGGAAGGCTGGTGTGTGACAGTCTCTGGTGTCATACTCCCAACTTCCATAGTGGGACTCCGAGAAAAGCAGAGAGCCAACTCAGATGACCCCAGGACACCAGCCAAACCTGGGTTCATGGCCTGTCTCTGCCCTTCTTTGCCCCATGATGCAGAGAACAGGGAGTCACTCTGCATCTCAGTGTTTCTAGCTGCAAGACAGACAACGAGCTCCTCTTGGCACCTGCTGAAGCAGTCTAAGGGCTATGTCTCACTGTCATCATCAACAGAATGTCAGGCCTGTCCAGGAAGAGAGAAGCAGCTGAAGCCCGCCTTGTGGGCCAAGCTGGGCAGAGGCCATCATGGGAGCCTTCTGAGGGACAAAGTGGCTACATAGATGGCCAGGCATCAGCAGCAGCCCGAGTCTGTGAGGTGCCAAGCCAGTGAGGTCTGCTGGATAGGAGGGCACCTGGCTACAGGAAGTGGTCCTATCTGGTGACCTGGCCCAGGGGTAGTATTACCAACTGTTTACGACATGCCAGGTGAAGGTAAAGAGCAATTGATCGGACTGTGATGACCCTGGGGCCAGGCCTGAGAAGCCCTGGGCAGGAAGCAACTATTAACCATCCCCCGGGGCACCAGAGTCCTAAGCTTACACTGTGACAGAGTCTGTGTAGGAGGAACCTCTGGGCACTGCTGTCCTGGCCACCAGAACTTCTAGGAGCCTGGGTGGCTGGAGGCCTGAGCCATTATCTGTACCAGGGTCTGCCCACCTGCTCCACCTGGACTTCTGGCAGGGAGCTCCTCCTGGGGGGTCACCAAGCATTCTCCAAATTCACAGCCTGGCATGGGACAAGGGATGTGCCTCTCAGCTTGGTATGTCCTGGGTCCTCACCCCCAGGTCCCCACTGCAAGCACACAGAGGCCCCTGACTCTGCCCCCACAGCAGGGGGATGGTGCTCCATCTCAGAACTCAGTGAGCACTCAACTGTGCCTACCACAGAGCTCAGCAGCCAGGGCAACACAGGTGCCTGGGGCTGCGGCTTGGGCATGATACTCCCCATGCAGGTGCATCCCTCCCAAGGGGCCTCAAAAGTCTCTGCCAAGATGGTGAGGATGGTGGAATCCCGAGCAAGCCAGGACCGAGGCTGCAGGGCTTCGTAGCTCATGAGCTCAGAGACAAGGCTTCAACAGCCTCTACCCTAGGGAAACCATTTCCTCCCTTAAGGAGGACGTGTGAAGTTAAGCCAGCCTAGAGCCTGGCTCCCCTGCCAGCGCAGAAGCTTGAGAAGGAAGTGTCACACCTGTAGTGGGGGTCTCCAGGATTGGCTCCAGGGCACAGGGACATTTGTCTTTCTCACCATAGCCCAGACTGCCCAAGGAGGTCCCAGGAGCTATGGGAACCCCACTACATACTGCCTCACCCAGCCGTCAAGTTGTTCACTAGCTGTTCCTAGTGAAGCCCCTAGGAAGTGAGGGGCAAGGCCTCCTGGAAGGCTGAGAAGTGGGCTCTGCCTTAGACCATCAGACAGCCATGGGACCCTGATTCCCCTCTCTGGGATTACCTAGAGTACTGGTGACATTTATCAGACTGGCACAGTGTGCCAGAACAGGAAATGTCCTCGGGCTTCCTCTGCCCCCCCCCCCAGCCTGACACTCTAGTCAGCCACCACCCCAATGACGCTTGGAGGGGCAGAGCCAGGGATCCTCCTCACCCCAAGAATGGGCAGCTTTTTCCATCCCCTGCCCCAGAGCTGAGGCCCAAAGAAGGTGCACCCAGTATGATGGGGATACACACACCTGACAGCCCACCTGCTCCCCTCACCGTGGCTTCAGGACACGAGGCAGGTGTGTGCCTTTCCCCGACCTCCTCTGGGCCCCCTTGCAAGAAACCAGAATACAGGTTGAAAGGGCAGATTCCATGTCAAACACCTTCTGTGTCCACCTCCCCCAGCCCACAGGTCACATTCTGATCTCAGTCCCCTAAGTCCAGGCCCCCAAGGTGCCGTGAGTCAGCCCTGCTAGCAGGCAGGGCACAGACTTCCTCCCCTCTAGGCCTCCCTGGGGACACCATCCTGGGCAGCAGCCGGCCCCCTGCCGCCCCGTGGGGGAGGTCACATCCGGGCGGGCCCCCAGGGGCTCCAGGCCTGGCTCACGAGGAAGCCCACAGCCCAGCCCCCCTGCCGACCCCTGACAGGGTGGCGTGGGAGGAAAAAATCTTCCAGCCATCTGCTCAGCTGCTGGGTTTCCGGCCGGCCCTGGCGAGGCGGGAGGACCTGCTCCCCTAGGGAAGTGCCCCTTGCCCTCACTGGGGGAGGGCGCCAGGCTGCGCAGTCAGTGCCGGCCAGCAGGACCCCAGAGTGCTGACAGAGGAACGCTGACTGCCCAGGCTTCGGGGCCCAGTGAGCTGTGCCCACGGACCTGTTGCCTGGCCTGGGACCTGCCCAGGCCCTGAGGGACAAGGCCCCGGAAGCTGGGCTTCAAGGCTCCTGGGTCCAATTAGGCCTGACTCAGCAAGTGGCCCCAGCTGAGTCACTTCCCTGGGCAGCCTGCCAGCCTCAGTTTCCTCGGGGAGAATGGGTGGATGGCTGCGAAGGGGGTCTGGCTGGCCCCCGTGGTTCACACCACCCCTCCCAACTCGCACTACCTCCTACCCTGCCCAGCTGGAGATGACTGACACTCGGGAGGTGGGGAAAGGAGGTTGGGAACCGTTTTCCTAGGAAACCTGACAACTAAGTGCCAGCCCCCCTTGGATGTGAACAGCAGGAGTTCTGAGTGCATGCTGACGCTGCATGCCTGCTTCTCAGGGAGTAGTCAGTGCCCTCTCACAGGTGAGGAGACTCACAACTCACAGAGGTCAAGGGACAAGCCCAAGGCCTCACAGTCAGGGATTACAGCCAGGCCAGCTCCATTCCCTGCTAGCCTCTCATACTTCACACAGCTGTCCTGGAGGGACCAGAGACTCTTCAGCCCCAATGGACAAGTCCTGAGAGTGGCCAGGTACCTTGCCCAAGGCCTCATGGCTGGAGCTGGCAGAGCCCAGACTTAGTTCCAAAGCCAAGTCTCGAAGTGGGGATTTAACAGGAAAGGCCCCTCATATTTTAACAACCTTAATATGTGCTACTATTCACTGCGTGCCAAGCCCAGCACCGAAAGCCTTACATATTCTCAGACCCCACAGCTGTTAATACCCTTTCACAGATGCCAACTTCAGTGCCTCAGAGAGGTTAAGTAACCCACCCAGGGATGCACAGCAAAGGAGTCCTCAGGAAGGGGCAGGGATATAGAAAGTGGACCCCAGAGGCTTTCTCAGCAACAGGAGTGGGATTCCCTGCGGGGTCTCTGAAGCCCCTTTCTTAGGTCTCTCATGCTGGGAAGGCACCTTCTTCCCTCATTGGGGCTGGCAGTCAGGCAGTCCCTGCCAGTGTCTCAGGAGGGAGACAATGTCCTAGGGTGGTCAGCTGGACCAGACATCCAGGGGCTCACAGGCTGACTGCTGCAGGGCCACTGGCAGCTGCAGGCGCGATCTGCCACAGCTGGGCAGCTCCAAGGGCTGGGTCTATAGCACAAAGTTTGGCTTCTTACCGAAGGCCCAAGCCCAGTGTGAGAGGCTTGGGGGTGGCAACTTCAACACACAAGATAGTAACTAACAATCCCAGCCCTGTGACAGCCAGTCCTGACCAAGACATTCTTAGCACTCTGACTTCTCCATTTATACTTCTGTAGCCCTGAGAAATAGGTACTGTTATCACTCACACCGTGTGACAGCTGAGGAAACTAAGGCCAGGCCTCCCGGCCAGGAAGCACTATCACCTCATCTTGCCCAGGTCTTCTCCCAAAGACAGGAAAGTCCAGAATGCCGCACGAGGCACTCAAGGGAGCTGACGAAGGGACATTTTCACAGCCAGTAACAATAACATTAATGATGGTAATAACAGAAATAACAACCCATCACCCCCTGTAATTGAGGCCTTTTCTGTGCCAGGAGGCAGGTGTCTTCCGCATACTCGTTCATTAACACTCCACCACAAACCTGTCATTACCCCATTTTACTTTACAGAGGGGGAAATTGAGGCAGCCCAGGGTTGCAGAGGAAGACTCTAAGTTCAGCCTCCTGGACCCTAGGCTCCCATTGATGACACTTCAGGTCAGCCCCTTCCCAGCTGGCTGTCTCCATGGCCCATGGGGACCCGCACAAGATCTAAGAATGCTCACCCTTTGGCTCAGGATTCCCTTCAAGAGGGGGGCTGTGGGAAAAGGCTCAGAAAAAGTGCACTGAAAGTTCTTCCAACTGCCCAGTAGGCCCTGGCCTCTCCCTTGAGCTCGACCTGCTTTTTCCGCATTAGGGCTGGGTCTCCCATCCCTGCAATCCAGAGGACCCTCTGGAGCTATTCCCACTCTGGCTGCCAGGAAATCCAGACACAACTTGTGCCCTCGTCCCTGGAGACACATGTGCCCACTGCCCTGGCAGGGGCTGAGGCCAAATGGACATGGGAGACCAGATGACCCAGCAGCTGGTGGGCATCAGGGGATGCTCATTTATTTCCCAGGCAGGGTCAGGTCCCAGCCTCTCCTGTCACCCAAGCTGGACCTTGGCCCTGAAGATGTCGCCTTGCCAAACCTTGTGCTCCAAAGCCACCAGCCACTCCCGATTTCACTTCCTCCCACTCAGCCCAGCAGGCCATGCTCCTCTCTGCAGGCCCCCAGCTGCAAGCTGTGACCTCCTCACCTACATCATTGTGGCCAGGAATAGGGAAGAGAAACAGGAGAATGAGGAAGCGAAAGCAAAAAGAAGTGGGGACTGGCAGGCAGACCCCTCCCCGGTTCCTCAAATGCAATCCAGACAGAGGGCAGGGAGGGGATTTCTGCCCCGGGATTAAAGGTCCCTGAAATACCCTCCCTCCACAGTGCTGAGCCACAGAACCAACCCTCTCTTTTCTTGGTGGGGGGATTCCCCGGAAGCCCCAGCTAAGAGGAAGCCAGGCTCTGGGACTCCGAGCCCTAGTGAACCCCCAAGTTCAAGGGAGGGTGGATTCCAGATGGCCCACCTAGGCAGTGCAGGGAGTTGAGAGGGGCTCCAGGAAGCAGGGGTTACCCTCTCAGCCACATGGCCCAGAAGCATCCTCCCCGCGCCCCTCCCGCCCTGGGCTCATTCACTCTCACCAGCTCAGTTTGACCGCTTCCCCTCTTGGGTGCCAAGACGCGACCCCAACCTCCTCGCCAGGCCCCTACTGGCTACTTTAGGGTGGCCTGGGGGTGTGGGTTATGCCCTCTCTCGGCCCCCCCCTCGCTGCCCCGGCTAACACTACATCTCCAACACGTGTGTGGGCGGGGGGGAAGGGATGGTCACCCCTGAACACCCCCCGCCGAGTTAGCGGCAGGACACGATTCTGGGGCTGTCGCGGGGGTGCGCGGGGACTGGGCAGAACTGGCCGCGGGGCCTCCTCTTCCCAGTAAAGCCCTCCCAGTCTCGGACGAGGGGAGGCGGGCTTACCTGCGAGACAGGGGCTCCGGGCCCGGCCGGCCCATGGCGTCGCGCGCCCCCGGCCCCCCGAAATCCCGAGGGGGCGGGCGGGCCCCCGCCCCGGGCGCGTCCTCTCCCGCGCGCCGGCTCCTCTCGCTCGCGGCTCTCTGGAGCGGGGCTCAGGCAGGAAACCCGGGCTCGGAAAATGGCCAGCGCCTCATCATTTCCGCCGCCAGCGCTTGACAGTTGCGGGAGGATGCGCCCCCGGGCCGCCACCGGGGAAACTTTGCTGCCCCCGCCGTGGCCACTCCGGGCCGCGACAGTCCGGGCGGGCGGCCGGGCAGTGACGGTGGCCCGAGCCCATGCCGCCCCGCGCCGTTATGTAAAGAGGAACCGGCTTGTGAGCGCCGAGCCCGCGGTGGGGGCGGGGGGAGGGGGGGGGAAGAGCAAGGCGTCTCGGGGGCGGAACCACAGGGAGCCCCGCCCCCGCCCGCCGCTACCCGCTTCGGCAACTGGAGGAGGCTCAGGGGCGGGGCCTGACCAGGCTCCGCCCCGCCAGCCCTAAGCTCCGCGGCCGACCAAGTGCGGGAACTCAAGACGCGGGCCCAGCGGGAGGCGGGACTGTATCAAGCCACGCCCACAACGCGCCCTCTCGAATCCCGTGGCTTAGCCTAAAGAAGGGAAGGCACGGATGAAGGGGCGGGGAATCCTTGGCCCCACCCACCTAACGCCTGCAAGCCGAGCGTCTCAGCGTGGCGGGGGCGTGGCCAGGTGAGGGGCGTGGTCTGTGCGGGGCGGGGTCTCGGGCAGGGCCGGGCTGAGATGCCTGGCCTCGAGGGGGCGCGCCCCTGCTTCCTCCCTTCTGCCCGGCCTTATCTACGCCGGCCCGGCCAGGCCGTGCAATAGCGACCGCCGTTTTCATCATCGCCGGGGGGAGGGGGCCCCTGCTATCCGCGACTCTCCAGAGCCGACCAGCCATGGCCCCACCTCCCCCCCTTCATGTTCTGTTCCCACCTTCCGTTCTGCTTCTGGTGCGATCCATGCCGGTGCAGACCAGCCTCCACCTGGCCACCCGGCCTCTCTCCAGCATGGGTGCATCTTTCTCCAAGAAACCCTCCGGACCGCTGGCGTCCGTGCGCTCTGCGCCTCCAAGTCTGCGCGCCCCGGGGTTACTTACCTTTTCTCTATGGCTTCATGGGGTTGAGGGTGACAGTTAGGTGCCCCCTAGTCTAGAGTGGCGCATACTTTCGGCCACTCTTTCCCCGACCCACGGGACGCGACGAAGGGAGGAGAGGAATGTCTGCTCTTCTCCCCCTCCCCCAACAGGAAACAAGCCGCCCACGCCCCCAGCTTGAAGGGGCCACTTCAACCCTTCCCAGAGTACAGGCTCCTTCGATCCCTGGCCTCCCCCCCATCCCCCCCCCTCCGCTGCCTTGGGCAAATAAATGACTTGACTTCTCCACTCCTCACCTTGCCCATCTATGAAATGGAAACAATAAGTGTACTCAGCCCACGGGGTTGTAGGAAGGATTAAGTGAGTTCACGCATTGGAGCAGTTAGCTCTGGGCTTGGCTCATGCTAACCAAGGAGGTGCAGCCTGAGCAAGTTAGGTGAATCCGCCTTGAATCCGCATGCTAGGAGCTGCAGGAAGGGGTTCCCCCAGAAAGTGGGGATTTCCAGACTCCAAACAGATGGCGGAAGGGAGCTGGTCTACTGTAGGGTCCTGGAGTCCATTGGCCTTGAAGAAACCACAAAAACCTGGGCTGGCGGAGTGGTTAAAGTGGTAGAGCGCCTGCCTAGCAAGCGTGAAGCCCGGAGTTCAAACCTTAGTACTGGGGGAAAAAAAGTGCTTTTCACAGTTTGTATTGCGTACCTACTATGTGTCAGACACTTTTCCTGGGACACAAAACAACAGCAGGGTCTGGTAAGAGGGCACGGTAGCCCAGATAAATGTGAAGATTACAAAACAGTTGTGAAACAGCAGTTGCAAGGTTGGGAATGTCTAGTGTTGGAAGAAAATAAAAAAGGCAGTGGTGATACCTACAAGGATAATGACAGGAGATGAAGTTGGAGAACCTGCCCTTCATATGGTGTCTTGATCATGCAGTTTGGGAATTATTTTGAGGGCAATGGGGAGCCATGGAGAGCTGTGTGCAGGAGAAGTAACAGTTGACCTTTGGATTCAGGCTTCAAAGCCTGGGGTTGGCATCCCTGCTAGGAAGTGTCCTGTGATATTCATTCAGCACCTACCTGAGGGTGTGGAACAAGGGGGAGGGGACTATCAAGGAAGTCTACACTGATAAGCCCGTGTCACTATCTCTTTATTACATTTCGGGGAGACTGAGTCCAGGGGGAGCAGCTCCGGGCCTGTGGCCACTGTTGCCAGGTGGCACAAATGGAGCAGCAGGTTTACTCTGCCTTTGCCAAATGTTTGCTGAAATCTGCCAGCCACAAGCACTTTCCCTCTCGCTGCCCGACGGCAGCTCTGCTGACTTAAATGGGGACTTGCGGTTCTTCCCCTTTTTAATCACAGTGCGAGGCTCCCGGCCGCCAGATTTCTCGACCCAAACCGGTTTCCTTCCTCGCTGAGTTTTCTCCCCACGTGGCGCTGGAGTCGCGGTTCTTGCTGGACTGTCGTCCGCCATCCAAAGCCTTCTCTCCCTTAGCGTTTTTCCTTAGAAAGGCAAAGGGCTCCCTGGCCATCGCCCTCCCTTCACCAGGGGCCCACCGCGGTGACAGCTGTGGGGACAATAGTGACCCCCCCCCACTTCCCCGCAGCTCCTTCCACTCCGCAGGGATGCAGGCCGAGACAGAAAGGTGGACTGAATTCCCACGGCTGGTCGGGGCTCCCGGAAGCAGCGAGGCCGTGCTAGGGGCCAGGTCCAACCGCCCTTCCTTCCTGCGGAGAAAACGCACAAGGGCAGCAGCTCGCCTGCCCAGAACTGCTGGGTCCAGACAAGTGGTGGGGGAGCGGGGGCGGGGGATTTAACCACAGACCGGCCAAGGTCAATGCTACTGATGAGCACAGAACACTATCAACAAAAGCCAAGCCTGACAATACAAACACACCAACAAAGATCCACACCACTGACCGATTATTTATTATTAAAATCAAGTTAACCGTAGCCATTTGAGTCACGTTAACGTCAATATCACCAAAAGTCAATCAGATTCATAACAATGGGCATAGATCACAAAGATCCATGCCATTGACACCTTAATTTAAAAATCAACAAAAGTCATTAAATCAACAAAGATCATTAGGCTGGTGGAGTGGCTCAAGTGGTAGAGTGCCTGCCTAGCAAGTGTGAGATCAGAGTTCAAACCCCAGTGCCACCACTAGGCACCAGGGGGTCACACCTGCAATCCTAACTGCTCAGGAGGCAGAGATCAGGAGGATCAGGGTTCAAAGCCAGTACTGTGCAAATTGTTTGCAAGACCCTTTCTTGAAAAAACTCAACACAAAAAAGAGCTGCTGGAGTGGCACAAGTGGTAGAGGGCCTGCCTAGCAAGCGTGAAGCCCTGAGTTCAAACTCCAGTACTGCCAAAAAAAAAAAAAAAAAGTATCATAATTTAATAATTCAAAGTTAACTGGTACAGGATTAACAAAAGGGCTAACAGCAACAAGGTAGCAATACTTAACAGAGCTAATTAATAACAAGTTACTGGTGGCTGTTATAGGGCTAATAGTGATGGTAAATAACAGAAGATTAATAGTTATTGAACAGTTAACAGGTCTAGTGTGATAAATTATAATAGAAGCTGGGGGTATAGCTCTCAGTGCTATTCATGAGGCCCTGGGTTTCATCCCTAACACAGCCAAAAAATTATAATAATGTCAATATAATAAAACATTAATATTTAATAACAAACATAATCTGTGTTTAATAAGACATTGATATATTATAAAATAACTATAGGACACCTAAGTGATGGGCTGTGTAATGTAAGTGGGCATTTGAATTACTTTTTTTGCAGTATGTTTTAGTTGTTGTTTTGCAGTATGTGAGCCTCAGACCTCACACCCAATTTACAGATGAAGACACTGAGGCTCAGAGTAAAGCCTGTTGCCCAAGGTCACCTGACCAGTGATTAGAGGCCTTGTTGTCACCATCTATCAATCACAGGTGCTTCTGTAGGCCTGGACCACAGGTGAGGGAGCCTGGGGCGTGGACTGCCCCTTAGCCCAGCTAGGCAGTGGCTGGTACTGGACGTTCCCAGACCTGGGTGTTCATCCTGGCAGTGTTGTGTGATCTCCAGGAAGACTCCCGCTCTCTGTGCCTTGGTGTTCCTGTCTGTACAATGGCCATGGATCACAGCTGGCGGGGAAGTGACACTGGGTCCTTACACTCAATGAAGGGGACTGCCCCTTACTTACCTTCATGCTCCCACTTCAAGGCCTTGTGACCAGCTCCTTCCGCTACCCAGATGCCCCCTACCTCCACCACCTCATTTCCTTCTCCCCTGGAGGTCCCTGACCCCAAGACTTAAAGCAGCCACTGCCCACTTCTGACTCCACTTGACCTCTGGTCCTGCTTGTCTCTTCCTCTGTTGTCGCCCCAACTCCACCTTGCAGTCACTCATAATGTTACTGAATTTATGTCTCTCTCCAGTAGGAGCCAGCTCTTCGGGGCCAGGATTCCTGTCTCGTCCATCCTCGTGTTCCCCACTGAGCCCAGTTCTTGGCACACACAGGGGCACATGGGACTTCAAAACATCTCCCCATCCCCAGTTCTTTGACACGTCTAACCCTGAAAGGTGGAGCCCAACCCCCTACCCTGGAATGTGGATGAACACGGACAGACAGGGCACAGCAGAGGTGAAGCCATTGGACTTCTGTCCAAGACGGCTGCTGCCACCAGCCAGCAAGGAACAGCCCCGTGGGTGTGTCACCTGTAAAGGGTCTCATCCAGGCCTCTCCGCGCTTCCAATAAGGGAAGTTCGAGCCCCACTTCGTTTTTTTATTTTTGTTGTTGTTTGTTTAACCCAGGCTAGCCTGGAACTTGAGATCCTCCAGCCTCAGCACCAAGTGCTGAGGTTTCAGGTGTGCTTAAGTGACTATGCCCGCCCAGCCACCGAGCTCGTATTTTGACTCCAACTGGAGATGCTGAGGCACAGCCTGAATCAAACTGCACCTGAGTTCCTAAAAGCATGTGAAACTATAAAGGTTTGCTTATGTTAACAAGTCACTAAGTTTTGGGGTAATTTGTTACGCAGCCATTGATGACATACAGAGCTCAAAAAGGCTCTGGGGTGTTCAGCCTATCAGGGGCCACCCATCAGGGGCCAACTGAGGCTGAGAGGATTCAGGAAAGGGTGCCTTTGGCCTTAACCAGCACAGGGCCACCCCAGGAGAGAATTACAAAA